TTTGGGAAACCCCCATATAGGGGACCATTGTGGGGGGTATAGCAAGGGGATACCAAGTCCTTCTGGGCTCCGTGGGAAGGTTTGAGCCTTTTGTAATTGGCATTGGCCGTTTGCCCTAGGGTTTAGGGTTGTGGGAAATTAAGGTTCCCGTAGCAATGTCCGATCCGGAGCAATGATCTGTTATCCGCAGTAATCACATGAGCTATTGTCAACGTTAGCATTATTAAGGGACCAACGTCCCCAATAGGGAACCCGTGTTCTTTAAATGGTGTAGCAGATATTGACTCTAGCTCACATGAAATTGTAGGGGAAGTACCGCAGCAGCAGTGAAGACAAGACCAGTGGTAGTCTCTCAGTCTCTACACCACCTTCACAACCTCAGTTCCTCAGTTGTGTATCAGGTGTTGTAGCAACTGTTTCTGTTATGGTGATGCACGGCAGCTTTCCTGCCAGAATTTTCGAATCCTTGCAGAAGCCCAATATACCCGCGTCATAGTCTTTTCCATTTTCTTTTCCANNATGCCTATATAACCCCTATATAATCCCTGTAGTTTCCTTTTTCTTTTCCATTATCCCTATATAATCCCAATATACCCCCTATATGAAAAATCAAACATGGAGACAGGCCTGGATTGCAGCAGCTGCTGCCGCCGTGCTTTTAGCGGTCACGGCAAGTGAAGCCTTTGTGACAGCGCGGTGCTGAGGAGCAGAATGTGTTTCGGTGCACAGAAGCTTCACATGAGCCATAGTCTAAACTCCTTCAAGGGGGATATATAAGGGATTATATAGGGGACTATTATAGGGGTTATTAAGGGGGGTACTAGGAGTTTAGACTAGGGCTCACATGCTTTCAAAGGCGGTGAGTGTTTATCGGGCCTTGAATAACGTTGCTCACCTCTCACTCGGAAGAGTTGCAAGCAGAAACCTAGGCAGCGCCACCCCCAACGCCCGTGCAGCTGGGACCATCGCAGTGCAATACTCAGACTCAAGAGTGCAACTGTGTGACAGGCCCTGCCCATGTAGATGCTGAGAGATTTTCTTGCTGGGGCCGTTGATCCGGATCCCAGTTTCCTGTAGTTGACTGGATTTGATTCGAGGTAGGGGTTGGTTGCAGAGCTTCGCACTGAGGATTGGCACCCGCTCCACTTCAACTAATTTGAGGCCTGCGAATGTCTCGGTGAAGTTGTGGCAGGTAGTATTATCACAAGAGTAGTAATAGTAACACTATAGGAACATAACACTAGGAATAACAATGACGGTAGTCAAAATAGTAGTGTTATCGGGCAGCATTCATGTGGGCGTGGCTACTTCCAGGAAGACAGATCAGACACTTTGTCATCTGCCCCCCCCCCCTCCCCCCCCTCACCCCACCAAGAAAAAACAACGTCGTACGGAAGGTGTTCTTTAGATCATGCAGTGTTACTTACTACATTACTCTGTTGTTACTATATGATTACATTAGTATATGTATATTACTAGAACACTGTATCACCATTACTATTAGTATCATTACTACCACTAGTTTTCTTATTACTATTATTGATTATCAAGCTTCTCCAAGCCTCCAGCTTTGCAACACTCTCTGGATTGCCGTTAAGGGACTGATGTTTTAGGCTTTAGGGTTTATGATATTGGGAAACCAATATATATATATATGTATATATCTACACACACACACACCCAAACATGGTGACTTAATTTAAGTTCCTGTACAGCAACCCAGCCTTGCACACAGGACATCCGCCAGCGGACAGGCAGCCTGACTCGTGGTTTTGACAGTGTTCTTTGGTCTCTGGGGTTAGTAGGTAAGAAGGGAAGATGTACATACATAACAGGGTATAGTTTCTTAGGATAAGTAGGGAATATGGTAGCATAGTATATAGGTATTATATAGGGATAATATTCCTCTATTCCCTGCTAAGAATCAGTAAGTCTTTGGTAGCAGGTCCGTACAAAGGAAAGATGGAGAGCTCGCAGCCGCTGCTTACTGCCATGATTAATCTTCCTACTATTCTCTACCATTATGATGACTACAGATATTGTTATATTTACGGTTGACATATTATTTCTATCATACATTGTTTTTAGTATTATCCGTACTACCACTATAATGTTACTAGTATTCTTAATTTGGAATATTAACATTCTTAGTAAACTAGAATATTGCTACTAATATCATTATACTATTACTATCATTAACAAACTCGAATATTACTATTCTTATTGAAGTAAAATACTACTCGTAGTGCTATCACTACAACATTGTTACTATTTTTCAACTGTAATGTTAACGGTCTTCTTAAAATGGAATATTACTATGGTTTAGGGCTTGGGGTTTAGGGTAAACCCTAAACCTTGGGTCATTACCCCTCCCAGTAACTGTCCTTAAAGGGGCCTTATGAAGGGGGTTCTTATAACTCCTATAACCCATTGTGGTAACAGTTACTGTAAGGTGGAATGACCCAACCTAAACCCTAAAGTTTTAGCTGAGGGCTCGACAACCGCCACGCGGAGCCCGAAGCTGCCCGAGCTTCGCGAGCGGCAAAGAACNNCCCTGTCGGGGCCCTCCTACGGAGGTTCTTATAGCGTAGCGTCTAAAGGTAGAAACCCTTCTGCAACCAAAAACGCTCAAAAGGCCATTGCAGCGCAGTTTTCAGGGGCCTCCCGGCCTCTCGGTCCTTCCAAGCCTCCCAAAAGGCTTCCCAAGCGATGTGCGGCTCCCTATCAGATCAGCCGCTCCCACACAGTCGACGCTGTTCTCGGACCAAACGGACCAATTCTGGTTTCCCGGACCAATTCTGGTGGCATTTCCAGCCGCTCCTAGACGGAGGATCGTGCCCGAGCAGCCGCAAGCACAGCACGTTCTCGCCGAGCCGTTTTAAGGCGGCCGCGGAAGTACCCCGACGCAACGGCCTCACAGAAAGACAAGAATTACCATCACCATTGA